CACAGTATTTTTATTTGGTCAATGCGGCCCCAAAATTGGTCAATGCGGCCCCAAAATCGGTCATTCCGGCCCCAAAATATATATTTTCAAAGAAAATTATTTAAGTCATCTTGTTGTATGATGGAATAAAAATGATTTATTATTAATTGTACCAAATTTAACGATTATTTGCATGTTATTTCACTGTAATCCAGACAAAAAAACCCCACTTACTTTATAAAATATAAGTCATATAATGATATTTGATATCTTCTGTTCTTCACGGATATGATTTTATATATAAAAAAACAAAAACAAATATAACTTATAACTTTTTTATTTATAAACCAAATTTAACGATATATTGCATATAAAATCATTTGATTATTAATCAAGAAAAGTTAATAAGAAAATAATCAATTTATAAAATATAAGTCATATTCGGTATCTTCTGTTCGCTACGGATATGACTTTTATAGAACGTAATTCGAATATAACTTATAACTTTTTTATTTATTTTATTAAAGGATCTTATGATTGTACAAGTAGCAGCATCATCTACTTAATTTCATGCCTAAAATGCGGCATCCAATATATAGGTCAGTCGGGTAACACAATTCGAGAACGTCTGTATGGACATATTAATGACATACGTAATAAAAATGACGTAAAACCTGTCTTTAAACATTTTTCCGCCAACGCAGGGCTCATCCTGGGGGGAAATTTTAGGGAGAAGTGACTTCCTCGCGAAAATTAGGGAGATGGGAAACAACCCAATGTGTATGCATTAACATGCATGGCTATACATCCTTTAATTATAATTTAAACACAATTAACATCACTTATAATATTTCTCCAGTTTATTAATTAATAGTAGATTAATTAATAGTAGTATTAATTAAAAGCAGATTAATTAATAGTAGATCTGGCAATGGCATCTAAATGTTTTTGAGCTGCAAATATGAATATAAAAATTATTTTTTGATATCTATTGATCAGCTATTTATAAGCTTTCTCATGTACATTTGTTGATAATAATGTGTAAGAAAAATTATGATAAAACCAATTTCATATTTTTACTTTCCTCACTTTTAATAGAAGATGAAGTCACTTTGGATATTGATTAATAATATCTCTTTCAAAGTCCTGAAGGTTGTAATGTCACATTTATATGCATATAATTATGCTTATAAAACAATTTTCAAACATCAAAGAATATGTAAAATATGTACTGCAAACATTTGTGCACATCATATTTGATCACTAAAATTACATACATTCATTTCTTATTGAAAAATTTGACTGAGAAATTGTAGAAAATTAAATGTCTAATTACCTCCCTTTATTTTCATGAAATGTTAAATTCGGTAATATCTTTATAAATAATGCTTTTTTAAAATTTCCTATTGATAAATCTTAATCTGAGCGTCATATTTACGACATTAAAACAAATATATATTATTGAAACAATAAGAACACTTCTTTCCTGACAAATTTTGTTGTTATATACGTTACATGATATAGACCAATATGTAGTTTAGCCACGTGCGTAAACTGTGTCAACTTAGGCATTTCTACAAAGAGAACAATGCCAAACACCCCACTGTCTACAACATACCAATCGCAAGATTTTTGCGAATTGGCTTTCTTAAATTTTCGCGTAGGTGTAACTATCAGAATCAGTAACTTTCTTACTGCTCGGTTTCGGCATTTCGCCTTGAAGCCATGACGTGAGCGACATAACAATTTTACAGTAAAAATTGATGTTAACAGACTGAAATCATGAAATCATTCAAAACTATGATTAAGTTTTTAATCCGATCGCTGATCATTAATGAAATTGATTATTTTTAATTGACTAACAGTTTTGTGATAGCCGTGAAAAATCCATTGCACATCGCCTTTACTCGGGTTAAAAACCCACCATCGAAGTGCATCGTGTATATCATCAATTAGGGAAGATTGCACGTGTTTAGATAATCGGGGAAAAAACAATGTATAATTATCGCCAAATCCCCTATTAAACTCGCAAAACTATCACATAATTGTACCGTTTCGGGCCGATGCTCTCATTATTTACTGTTTAGAGTAGGCGGTCTATCGCTTCGCTTACAGGTAGAAGGGTAGTATAAAGCGACGCTCTGATTGGATAATGATAATTAGCGGTCGTCATATGGGCGGATACAATCTCTGCTCTTTACATCGCTAAGTAATTACTATTTGGGAATTAAGATTTTATCGGCGATGTTGACTTCTCTTTGATCAATCGGGAGAGCGAAATTGGAATATACACGGCGAAGTTTTTGCCTGAATCGCCCTTCCGGATGAGCCCTGCAACGGACACAACATTAAAGACGTCGACGTCACAGTTCTAACAATGACACCTAGGAACATAAACATCCGCCTTAGAACAGAAGAAACCTACATTGAATTATTTAAAACGAAATCACCTAACGGACTTAACTTAATACAATAATGGAAATAACAGATATGAAACTAGAAATGTGTCCATAGGACACGGATGCCCCCACACGCCACTGTTCTGTCAATCTTATGACTCTAGGTCAAATATTTTTTGGACTACATGTGCCACAAGTTGAAAACTAAAAATCAACAAAGGGCCATAATTCTGTTAAATTTGGTCTCAGCAAAAATTCCTTACTTTAAAACCATCTACACATTAAGGTTGTAAATCCCTGGAAGTTTAAGCAAAATCTGCCATTTGGTTTAAGAGGAGTTGCATTCACAAAATTTCTACATAGTATATAGTGAAAAAATCAACAAAGGGCCATAATTCTGTAAAATTTGGTCGCAGCAAAAATTCCTTCCTTTACTACCATCTACACCTTAAGATTGTTCATCCCTGTAAGTTTAAGCAAAATCTGCCACCCGGTTTAAGAGGAGTTGCATTCACAAAATTTCTACATAGTATATAGTGAAAAAATCAACAAAGGGCCATAATTCTGTAAAATTTGGTCGCATCAAAAATTCCTTCCTTTACTACCATCTACACCTTAAGGTTGTTCATCCCTGTAAGTTTAAGCAAAATCTGCCATCCGGTTTAAGAGGAGTTGCGGTCACAAAATTTCTACATAGTATATAGTGAACAAATCAACAAAGGGCCATAATTCTGTTAAATTTGGTCACAGCAAAAATTCCTTCCTTTACTACCATCTACACATTAAGGTTGTTCATCCCTGTAAGTTTAAGCAAAATCTGTCATCCGGTTTAAGAGGAGTTGCGTTCACAAAATTTCTATATAGTATCTAGTAAAAAAATCAACAAAGGGCCATAATTCTGTTAAATTTGGTCACAGCAAAAATTCCTTCCTTTACTACCATCTACATATTAAGGTTGTTCATCCCTGTAAGTTTAAGCAAAATCTGCCATCCGGTTTAAGAGGAGTTGCGTTCACAAGATTTCGGGACGGACGGACTGACGGACGGACGGACAAGTGCAACGCTATATGCACCCACATTGTGGGGGCATAAAAATATTCCAAACAAGTACCAGCACCGGCAGATTCATTCAAACTTATATCAAAAAATTTACGGCAATGTTCAAAATGTAATAAATTCATCAAAGGATCCAAATCAAAAATCAACCGACACTACAAGACACATGAGAAAACAATTACGATGTTCATATGCTTCCATTGTGATCAAGAATACACAAGAAGGGACATTCTTAAAAGACACTGCCGTAAAATACACGGCATGGAAATGCAAAGATACAAAACCAAAACGGAGAAAAGAACACCTGACTTAGACGAAATCAAACCAGTAAAACCATGGCAACCACCTTTTGAATGTACATTAAACACGAAACCAACAATTATACCGAAATTTCGAATCGTTCAAGGACAAAAAAATTGGCTAGCCAAAAAATTTACACCAGAAGTTAATTGCACACAAATGATAAAGGAAAATGACAGTAGAAGAACCACTATCACCATTACCGGACTCTCCATTTAGATCCAACGAAAATTCGCCGACACATACAATCTCAGATGTAACAATTTGCCAAGACGAAAAAGACGATTTTCTATACACAAAAACACATGGACATAATGATTTACTCGATCTATGGTATTTTTAATTAAATAAACAACAACTTCACAATAACTATAAACATTTATTATTATTATTTTTTAATTATTCATACAAATAACTATATACGGACAAAAGAACCACCGAACAATAATTTCTATAAATAGATTTGATCACGTGACAAAAAGAACCGTCAAAACTGTACCTTAGATGAAAAATTCTGATATATCTGTACCCTGATGAAGGCTATTGAATAGCCGAAATGTAGGTCATAAATAAAATTATAGAAACTTGACCCACTTTGTTTCGTGTGTTTCACTTTCCTTATTCTTTTTATTATTTTTTATTTATGGACAAAATTTAACGATATTTTGCATGTAAAATCATTTTATTATTATAAAACATCGTATCAAGAAAAAATAATAAAAAATAATTACTTTGTAAAATATAAGTGTTTATATTTTAAAGCAAAATAAATAATATAAAAAATGGGGCCGGGTTGACCAGAAATAACATTGGTTTGGGGCCGGGTTGACCAATTTGGGGACGGGCTTACTTGGGGCCGGGTTGACTTGGGGCCGGGTTGACTTGTACCGATATTTTTCAGGCAACCAAACCAGTGCTCAACCAGGTGGTTTTATCTCTATCAGAACTTTTATTTTTTAAGAACAGATGTGACTTTTTATGTTCAACAATTCTATTTCAAAAATATTTTGAAACATTTATGTTGTAGTGTCTATAGGTGTAAATATGAGAGTAAATATGATACGAAGGAAATGCTATAAATTGACAAATAAGGTGTTTGTAAGAGTTTTGGAATTTACATTTAATGGGGCGTTTGAGATTACTTATTCTCATATATATTTTACTAAAATCACTCTGCAAACGTAGTTAAGTGTGATACTTGGTGTAATATACAAATTGTCTACGCTTTTAGTGGTGTGTTCCCGATTTGTTTCCGTACAGCTGCCATATTTGTTTACATGTTCATAGCCCATGTCTTTTTATGGAAAGCAGGGTTTTGATGATTTTTGGGCACATTTCCTATGGAAATCAATTGGAATCATAAGAGTAAAGGCAATTTAACAAAGTATTGTCCACATTTGCCCTACATTATCATTATTCCAGTGTTTTAAATAGTTTTTACTGCTACTTTTATTATACAATTGAGGTTTTGTACTGTTTAATATTGTCTGCAAAATGGTCAATCTTCTACCAAACTTGGAGTTCTTGTACATGGTGTACAGGTTAAAGGTCAGGTACAAATAGCACACACAAACTCCAAGGGTTTTTCCACTTTAATGCATAAATCGTACACAAATAGAAGTATTGGTCGAGCACTGGGCTGGTCGAGCACAGGTACTGTGACTCTATATAAAATATAAGAATGCAGATTATGTGCTAGCCAGTTTTAACCACATCCGACTATTGATGGGTAATAGGTGGGACTATGACTTTATGATAGTAAAATTCCAAGTAAAGATCCTACCATGGGAAATACATATCCTGGCCATTTTGACCCCACAACCCAAAAAGCCATGTAATTGCATTGATATGTCAGTGTAGGGACAGATGAAAGGTTAAGTCTCATTTCCTCTGCCATTCCCTTGCCAGAGTTAGATTGTATACACATACATTCACAGTGCCTTAACTTCCCGTACGAAAAAGATAGCAGGATTCCGCCTAATATTAGCAGGAAAACGCTTAAAATTTCCGTGTATATAAGATTTTCCTGCTAATTTAAGACGGACACGGAATTTTGTAAAAAATCCTGCTAAGCAATTTCATATTCCGCCTAAGGCTTAGGCGGAAAATATGGGATGAGCAATAATTTAGACGGGTTTTAGGACTTAGAATTTTGTCAGTTATTTGTTAACAGGAATTATGTACTTAGACTTTTTTGTTAACCAGAAATTGAACTTAGAAAATTTTACTAGACAGATTTCTGAATTTGGAGAAATTTCTGCAGATGACAGGTAAATGATAAATCGAATATTAAGTGATCAACAATTATTTTGCTGCTTTTATTCATTGTTAATTTTCAAAACTAAAATATTGTTTGTACAAACATAAACATACATAATCATTAATTGATAAAAAAAACTCCACAACAAAACTAAAACTTAGAACATATATAATGATGTTGTGATGACTTTTGCATAGAATATATTTCACTCTGTTAAATTTGGGTATGAACTAAACTCATATATTAAGCTCTTTAATGTAATATAATTAAATGAGTAATATCCCTGAAAATTTCTTATCACCAGGATAAATAAATAAATACTGCCTCTAGTAACCACTCTACTATGATTTAACACCATAGACCTGATAACACACAGGTCAGATCGTAAATTCTGCTACAGTCCAGACTGTTCCATGTGATTTATTTGGGGGGAAGCAACAGTTACTTTGTACATTTTATATGATGAGTCTGTAAAGAAGGACTTTGCAAAGTTTTTTTTAAAGATATTTATTATGAATTTTGGATTCTTTTTCCATTTATTTTCTGGTATTTTTATATAATTGTGAAAATAAAACGATGGGTTGGATTATCCCTGTTTACCATCATATCATGGACTTGTCCATAATTTGAAATCTAGGAAATATGGGTCAGCAGAAGCTGAGACAGTGGAAAGAATTTAGCAAATAACAAAGGATTTTATTGATAGTTAAAAATTGTGGTGATAATATATAAGCAATTTTTGAGATAATATTTTGTTTAAAGTGTATAAGGATTGAATATTTTTGAATTTTTCAAAGAAAAAAAAATAAGACTTAACCTTGTGAATGAAAATGACAATAATCTGGATATGCTCAGTTGTAAATGAATTTTGAATGCTACATTATGACCTTGGATAAGAAGATGAATACCAATATCATAAAAATTCAGGTAAGTAACTTTTGGATACATTTAAACAATAAAAATATATTTCAAATAAATTAAATAATTTTGCATTAAGTTTGAGAGTAAATTTGTAACACTAAGTTTGGTTGTAATGAATTATAGTTTAAATGCATGTATAATTATAACTGCAAACAATGACAAGAAACAATAATATAAGATATTAGTGGTGGCAGTGTTTTACTGATGACTGTTTGTGTTTCAGGATATGTCTCAAGCTGGTGAAAAAAGAATGGGAGAGGAGGAGTCAAGGACAAGGATATTAACAATGCCATAACTTTAAGCAGATCAGTTATGCTTGGAATAAAAATGAAAACAACTGGCTGAACAAAAAACATTTACAGTGAAATAAAATGAAATAATTTGCCATGGATTAAAACAATACAATAGCAGTGCAATAAAAAATATAACTCGTGTTTCTGTTTTTTGTGTGACTCTTTTACGTAGTGTACATGCACCCTAATGTAGAATACATTATGGTAAAGCTCACAAAAATAACTTAAAAGCTTTGTAATTGTGATCACCTATAGTCTGTCTGCAATTTTGGATTCCAATTATTCTTATGCAGCTAAATAATAATGTTGTATCCATCCATAATTCAGCTTTATTAGTGTACAGTCTATCACAAAATTGAATAACTTCATTTCCTTAGGCGGATTTTTTGCTAGTATTCCTTAGGAAGAATTTTCTCCTGCTAGTGATTTTCTAAGTAGGTATTTTTTTCCTGGTTAAAATATTTTAGGCGGAATTTTTTCCGGCTAAGAATTTTCCTAAGGCGGAATTTTCTCCTGCTAGTGCTTTCCTTAAGCTGAATTTTTTCCTGGTTAAATTTTCTAAGGAGGATTTTTTTCCTGCTACCCTAACTGTTTTCCTCTTAAGAAAAATTGCATATTTCGCAGCGTATTCCTGCTTATAGGAGGAATCTGTGATATGTAAACCTGAAATGCCTTAGACAGATTACGCCTAGTAGCTAGGCGGAATTTCTGCTTTTTTCAGGGCGGAAATTTTCGTACGGGATCAGAGCAGGTATTAGTTTCCCGCACTTCAGAGCATACTCATTAGAGGTGCGCGGTTTAACCGGTATACCGGTAAACCACGGTCCGAGACATCTGTGGTACGTACCGCGGTACAGACCTGGAAAACCGGTACTTTTAGCACTAATTTAAAGCAATTACAGATCCGTAAAATGTACTAAATTAAAAAACTTTTTCTGCTGTATATTTCTTTGAATTAACCTTTTTGCAAACAACTTTCGCCGACTGTTATCATTCTGCGATAGTTCTTAACGAAAATTGAATGCTTTATCAATTACCGCATGTAAGCCAGAATTGTCGACTTGCATGATCTCAGTTGAAGAAGCAAGAATTGTCGACTTACATTTACTTGTCCAAATATCACTTATTTGATACGAAAACTAATCGTAAAGATTGATCATTCATGAGGGCATTATTCCTTGCATAAAATTAGGGTATTACTATTTTAAGTATTCATATAAACAGTCTTCGAAATTAACGCCAGTCTGAGGCCCGAGGCCACTAAATTTAGCATCGGTCCGGTGATTATTGCAAGGTTGATGGTCCGACGGACCAGTAGATTTTTTGTCATGAAAAATATTTTAAGAAAAAATCATCAAAATAATGAAGCAGGGTTCTCTAAAAGATTGATCTTTTTGCTTTTTTTGCAAATGAAACCCATCAATTCTGTCCTAAATGTTCAAAACACAGCGAGAGATGTCTAAATTGTATTGAGTAATGGAGGCCGCCATTTTTTTCTTGGATATTTTCCGTACCGCACCGTACAGTTACGGAAATTAAACCATTGTTTATTTTGGTCATTTTTTAGCTATGATTTTGTGATTATTGAGTTAAGTAAATATTTTGTGTGAAAGTGATTTGTTTGAAGCAAATTGCGTTGTTCATGTTCAATTCTAGTCAATTTAGCCTAAACATTTGGTCCTTAAAGATTTTTCAAAGCTGTCAACATATGGCCCAGAATACAAGACGTATTATGCTTCTTTCAAAATTATCAAGGGAAGCATGATAAAGTGTTTTCCTGTACCCATTAATTCATTACCTATCTATGTATTTGGTCCGGCGAAAAATCATCAGGTCCAGTAAGATTTTATATTTTACTGGCCCGAATGTCGTGTGCTTTTTAAAGTTTTTCGTGAAGACTGTATAAATAGCGACCAATAAGGCTAGGGGTTTTCCTTACGTCACACACTTATTGCATGCGCATGGCAATTAACTAATTATAGAACGGCATAGAAACTGGATTAAAAGTAACGTTAGTTCAACTAATGAATATTAATTAAGCAGTAACATGGTCAGCTGTTTTCTATGTGATAATTTTAATTTGCTTTTGGGGTACATGTTTGTTTTGGTTTCTGACACAGATTAATTAAATTCTTAGCTCTTGCAATAAATAATTTACAATAGCAGCTGGGACTCTGTTATAAATTAACCGACAAATAAATATTTGTCATCGGCTAAGGTGCATTTGACCTATTATTTAATTAATCAATAAGCAAGAAAAACATTTTATTTTTCCATTTTAGCTATGCAATTTATATAACAGTTGTTAAATATTGAAAGAGACCAATATGAAATAAAAAAAAAACAACAAGAACTGATCAATGACCCAATTAATTTATGATTGTCAACATGCGAAAGTACCTGATTGAAAAAAAGTTAAATGATGCTTTGATTAATCTGTATTTTATTGATCTGCTTAAATTTAATATTTGAAATTCTATACCAGCCTACCTTGATACTTATTTTAGAGATAAAAATTAACCTATAGCGTACAATGAAAATCCGTGGTATACCGCGGTTTATACCGTGGTTTTTAGGAAAAAACCGTGGTATACCGTGGTATTTTCTTTCTGGCGGTACCCAACTCTAATACTCATTGATTGGCTGATTTTTCCTGGGGTTAATTTATAGAAATGTCACATTCACATGATCGTTAAATAGTTACTTTTTTTCTGGGGCTTAATATTGTTACAACAGGGAATGTGTTTTTAATTTTGCGTGGGATACAAAAGAGGGAAGAACATCAAAACACTGGACAATCTGATTTATACTTGGGGCTATGCTATCAGATAGCCTCGTGTTTTGATGCTCTTTCTATTACTTGCATATACGAATGCATGCTTCAAATTTTTATTTAACGCTTGGAAATAATACCTAATGGGACAAGCAGCTACCTACTATACTTATTGGTCTTATGTTTGCTTTCATTTGACAGTTGGTCAATGTTTTAAAGCAGTTACAACATAATAACAATGTTTCATTGATTAATTTTCATGTTAGGACATTAATTTTAGGTATGCACAGACTGTTTAATCTTATGCCAGTTTGCTTACGTATGCATCTGTTTATCTCGCATTGTAAGGGTTCACAGCCTCTTACTTTAGACTTAATTGTCTCAGGTGATTTTTATGTGGTCCATTGTTATACAAGAGGCGGAGAAATATCACAGAAATCAAAATACAGTGTAACTTCCGAATTCCGGAACTTCTGAAATCCGGAAACTTCTAAAAACCGAACAATTTTTTCGGTCCCGATTTTTTCCCTTCTATTTTCTATTAATATAATACTTCTGAATTCCGGAACTTCTAAATTCTGAATTCCGGACGATATTTTCGTAAAATTAGAGTCAAATCAATGCAATTTTACCTCCAAAAACCGGAAATATCCAAAGGTGTGAAATACATTGTAAACCCTGCAGGAAGATTTAATCTCCCTATCGATTGTTTACTAATTAGCGGTGATCGTGTAATTTGACACGCGTTAAAATCACAAACTGTGAAATGGTATGTTTGAAGTGATGCGGTTAATCAAAGTAATTTACGGCGGTCAGTTAATTTGAAGTGTTTATTAGCGGATTAAATGACAATTAATTGGACAATGTATGCATCAAAAGTCTTTAGGGATTTTATTGCATTTGATGTAATAATTAATTAACTAGCATCGGACGATATGTAAGTTTATGCAATTAACAACATTTCTACAAACTGATAGAAATTCAAAAGCATTTGCAAGTAAGATAAAAATGTATTCTTTTCATTCACATCTTTATCTTGATTAAAAGACTATTATATATGATATTACAGTAAAGGCCACTTCTTCCTTGACATTTAGTGATATTAAGTGGCTTAGTCTTGTCCGCATTATCATAAACCTCTGAATTCCGGAAACCTCTGAAATCCGAACTTTTTGACAAGTCCCATGGGTGTTCGGTTTTCGGAAGTTACACTGTAGAATTATATTTATTGCTTTAATATTCATTCTTGATTATAAAGTTTATTTTGTTTAAAATGATGAATTTCTAGACATCCAATGTCGCAGCAATTTAACATGAAGACTTGATTACAGACAATCCTGACAAGAGATATTCGTACTGACGCAAGTTAATGTTGATGCTGATTATTTTAAAGCATATATACCAAAGCAAACTTATAAACTAAGAGAATGTGTAACAGTGAATATTTTTATGTTGACATTTAATGATCGCATTGGTAGCCATTATCCATACAGAAACTAAAAGCCAAACTCTGTAACAATATTTATGAAAACTAATAAATCAAATAACAAAATTTTTATTTTATTTCACTGCCAATGAAAATTGATCTTAAAAAAATATGAAGCAAGTTATAATTTTTGTTTCAGTCTGTATTGATATGAAAGTGAAATTGTGATGTAACAGTGACAAGAAAGATGAATTATGTTGGAAGTATATCGATCATTGACCGAGGGGATGCCCTGGCAAAGGCTATCGTTGATAAAAACACCCGGTCTCTGGCACAGAGAGTTGCAGATGAAACTAAAGAAGAACTGGACAAAGTTATGGACAGGGTGGACAATGTAAGCTTTTACTTATAACTTAATCTCTATGGGCACCATTCTTAATAGAGGACCAACTGGCCAAGAAGAATTTGATTTTCACTGCTGTAGGTTTGAATCTTGCTGTGGACTTTGAAATTTTCCATGTTTGCAAGTTACAGCTGCCTTAGTTCTCAAGTGAAGTTTGGCTGCTGGCAGCTACGGAATCTAATGATGTAACAATTGCAGACTGATCATGGTCTGCACTGTTTGCTATTAGGTCAGTTCATTATTTGAAATTTTTTACTTAAATTGACAAATTGTTATGACATTGTCCAGATTATAAAAAGGACAAGTTCATTTAAGATATTTAGCAGGGAAAAGGATTATTTATTTCTGATGCTTTCTTGTTATTTCATTTCTTTACCATTTCAGATCTATGTGTCCTATGAAATGTCTACCCAGACCATGTTTGGTGATTCAAGAGGCTCTCCTAATGTAGAATACATTGAGGACATTGTAAGTATTTTATTTTAATTTATCAATTGCTCAATTTTGCACATAACAGATATCTTTTACTAATTGGTTACTGGATTTGAATTGTCACTTATCATTTTTGGTTTGATCCCTGCCAGGGACTATTGACTTGTGAGAAAGTTATCCAAATATACATTTACAGATGGCTTGTGGTTTTACTCTTACTCCTGTTTATGCCTCAAATAATTTTCTTTTATAATATAAGTAGCCACTTTTAACAGGCATTGTAGCTACTAAAATTGGTATAGGGTTACTATGGTCTACGTAAATGTTAGAAGAAGAAAAATCTCAGTTATATAAGTCTATTTAAATGTTCCAACATTCTCTTTTTTCATAGAAGTGAATATTTCTACTTATTAGATAGTCCAACAAATCACAGGTGTACTTAAAATTTGTTTTCTTATAACCAGAATGATGGAAAGAAGTAAGAAAGTATCTACAACAGATGGCAAAGAATTCAATATGATAGATGTGTCATTTAAACAGGAGAAAAGTGACAAAAATAGTAAGTTATTAGCTACGTCTAATCATTTTGTGAATCAAATTTGTAACGCAATGATGTGTATGTGTGTTTACCAGTAGGGCTCGAACCCACCATGCCTTGGTTGAGAGACAGACACCTGATCCACTGTGCCTCAGCCACATTTTACATAAACAAGGTAAGCCCCTTTTGGCAAAGGGGTTGCCTTTATTGATTGAGACCAGGCTTCGCGAAACTGCTGAAAAATTGGCCTGACATTCGGTCAGACAAACTTTCAATTCTTGTCTGACCAAAGGAACTTTTGTCTGACCGAATTTTTTTCCAAATATATGTAAATGGTAATACCTTTGTGTTTTTTTTAAAGACATAGCCTTTTGTTCCGCTTTTTTTTCTTCATTAGATAATTTACGTTTTTTTTGCCTGGCGTAGCGCCATAGCAATAATGCAGTTAAACACCGACATTTTCTTCCGAGTACAAGTTCATTGAAAGTCGTATGTATCTAGAATTTGATTGGACACTTATAATGAAACGGCGATTCAAAACTTGTTTTACATTTTTTTATTCAAGGGAGAAAACTTGGTCTTGATCAGTCTTGGATATATCCCGGTATTCGTACCGGACATAAGGTCCGGAACTCGGAAAAAAAAATATTGGACCGACCTGATTTTTGCCGGACATGTCCGACGGTCCGGCAACTTTCACGAAGCCTGTGAGACATAAGAATTGTAGCCACCGTTTATCCCTGTGTGATTGTATGAAGCGACTGAATGGGTTTAAATAATTGGAGTCTATGCATGTCTTAGCTCCAGCAGGTGAAGCAGTTTTGACCCCTGGCCCCGTGTTCACTAAGATAAGATCAGGATCAAGTGATCCTGATTTTATTTTCATTGTTTTATAGTTCTAAAATTAATCTTGTTTTGCTAAAATTAAATGATAGATATTCAAAATGTATAAATATTGCTGATTTACAAAGAAACCAAACTATTTTGGGATAAAATCAACAAATAAAAAAAAACAGATACAAAATTTTTTGGATCAAAATAAGGATCCATTTAAGGATCACGATCAAAATTTGGATCAACTGTAAAATACCCGTATCTTGCAAAAATAATAAATTTATTCTTAAATTTCATGAACTTGATATTGCAAGTCCAGTTTTATCAAATTAATATTAGATATTTAATTTATGAGGATAAGCAATGAAGAATATTTGAGTTTTTTAATTTGATCCTGATCTTGATCCTGATCCTCAAATCTTTGTGAACACGGGGCCTGGTGTTGAAATAATTATATTTATTATATGATCTAAAAATTTCTGAAATCTCTCTGGTCCAAACACCTATCACCTTGGTCAGTATAACATTCGACGGGTGAATATCACATCATATTCAATGGCTGACTAGTCAATAACTGTAATATTATTACACCGTTTTCAGTTGATGTACACATGAGCAGTTTATATGTGTGTGTATGCATGGATTTCTTGATGTCAGTAGCAGACTTCTTTGTGAAAGGTTTACCTAAACAACCCGAGGTAGAACCACCCCCTGTTCCTGCCAAAGAAACACAAAAAGGTGAGTTTAATTCATGATATAAAATTGAAAATATTTTTTTTTGTACAAAATACAGGAAAGTGAATGAAATTTGTCATTTACTCTGCATGCATTGATAACAAAACAAAAAATGTTTCTTGGCAGCCCCGATGTGGGTTCAAATCCTAGAAGGGACTTTGGATTGTTTCATGTGAGGAAGCTATCCAGCTAGCCTGAACGTCTGTGATTCTACACGGGCCCCTGTTCGTGCCTGAAATAATGCTTGGAAGGGCACCTGAGATCTACCTCCACCCTTAAAGCTGGAAAGTTGCCATATGACCTAAACAGTGTCAGTGTGATGTAAAACCAAATCTAAGTACAATTGATCAAAGTTTTATGTGTAAAATCTCCATGTTAGTGGGTATATATTTGAATTTATTTATTGCCTTGGTATTATTCCAATGTTTAATCAATACTGAGCATATGTTTAGTCGATGAATTATCATAAATATTTATTGATATTCTTTATTTAACAGCAGTCGTAGTACAGCCGAAGCCTGCCGAGCCTGTGGCCGGTGAAATGAATATATCTGTCTCAATAGATAGACCAGAAATTATCATGATTGAAGACCAGTCTAAACAAGAAACTAGTGCCCTCATGTTAGATGTAAGTTATTTAATATCCTGGTACATTAAAGGGAGCTGTGGCCTAGTGGTTAAGATGTCTGCCTCTCAACCCTCGGGATCATGGGTTCGAGCCCCATTCAGGTCGCAACCATGTTTCTTCATATGACATTAGTACTGGTTGGTTCCAGGAAGCAGACTCAGAAGTAATTAATATAAGTTGCAAGAACTTGTTTCGCAATCAAGCTTAAATAAAATTTAATGTTTAAGTCAAATATTTTGTTCTCTTTTGTCCTTGTTGTTTTGTTATCCTGTTTATTTTGTGCAAAACACCAATGAAATAAAAAAAAGTACATCTTACTCAGTTTTATTTGATGTAAATAATAGATATGTCCATGTCTGATGTAGAAAAATTAGTTTCTATTCGGTCAAAACCCTTATCATGTCTTATTTGTTTATGTCGAAGTTTCATTATCTTGACTTCTGTGGACGGTCCCAGCAGCTTTGAGATAACAGGAATCGACTGTATCCAGTTCTTGGAGTGCCCTTAAAACTCATACAGTTATATACAGTTATACCCTATTCTTTTGTAATGCCCTCATTTATATAATTGTTTTTATCTGATGCTGTTATCACTTATTTACCCTATTCCCTTAAAAAAATAAATTTCAGTCTGGAAACAATAATTATGCCATTAATTTTGCTTTAAAATTTGATAGATATATTAACAATGATTTCAGATGGAGTTAGTATTGATATATTTGCAATGATTTCAGATGGAGTTAGTATAGATATATTAACAATGATTTCAGATGGAGTTAGTATTGATATATTTACAATGATTTAAGATGGAGTTAGTGTTGATATATTTAAAATGATTTCAGGTGGAGTTAGTGTTGATATATTTAAAATGATTTCAGGTGGAGTTAGTGTTGATATATTTAAAATGATTTCAGATGGAGTTAGTGTTGATATATTTACAATGATTTCAGATGGAGTTAGTATTGATATATTTACAATGATTTCAGATGGAGTTAGTATTGATATATTAACAATGATTTCAGATGGAGTTAGTATTGATATATTTACAATGATTTCAGATGGAGTTAGTATAGATATATTTACAATGATTTCAGATGGAGTTAGTATTGATATATTTACAATGATTTCAGATGGAGTTAGTGTTGATATATTTACAATGATTTCAGATGGAGTTAGTATTGATATATTTACAATGATTTCAGATGGAGTTAGTGTTGATATATTTACAATGATTTCAGATGGAGTTAGTATTGATATATTTACAATGATTTCAGATGGAGTTAGTATTGATATATTTACAATGATTTCAGATGGAGTTAGTATTGATATATTAACAATGATTTCAGATGGAGTTAGTATTGATATATTTGCAATGATTTCAGATGGAGTTAGTATTGATATATTTACAATGATTTCAGATGGAGTTAGTATTGATATATTTACAATGATTTCAGATGGAGTTAGTATTGATATATTTACAATGATTTCAGATGGAGTTAGTGTTGATATATTTACAATGATTTCAGATGGAGTTAGTATTGATATATTTACAATGATTTCAGATGGAGTTAGTGTTGATATATTTACAATGATTTCAGATGGAGTTAGTATTGATATATTTACAATGATTTCAGATTGAGTTAGTGTTGATATATTTACAATGATTTCAGATGGAGTTAGTATTGATATATTTACAATGATTTCAGATGGAGTTAGTATTGATATATTAACAATGATTTCAGATGGAGTTAGTATTGATATATTAACAATGATTTCAGATGGAGTTAGTATTGATATATTTGCAATGATTTCAGATGGAGTTAGTGTTGATATATTTACAATGATTTCAGATGGAGTTAGTATTGATATGTTTACAATGATTTCAGATTGAGTTAGTGTTGATATATTTACAATGATTTCAGATGGAGTTAGTATTGATATATTAACAATGATTTAAGATGGAGTTAGTGTTGATATATTTAAAATGATTTCAGGTGGAGTTAGTGTTGATATATTTTAAATGATTTCAGGTGGAGTTAGTGTTGATATATTTACAATGATTTCAGATGGAGTTAGTGTTGATATATTTACAATGATTTCAGATGGAGTTAGTATAGATATATTTACAATGATTTCAGATGGAGTTAGTGTAGATATATTTACAATGATTTCAGATGGAGTTAGTGTAGATATATTTACAATGATTTCAGATGGAGTTAGTGTTGATATATTTACAATGATTTCAGATGGAGTTAGTATAGATATATTTACAATGATTTCAGATGGAGTTAGTGTTGATATATTTACAATGATTTCAGATGGAGTTAGTATAGATATATTTACAATGATTTCAGATGGAGTTAGTGTTGATATATTTACAATGATTTGAGATGGAGTTAGTATAGATATATTTACAATGATTTCAGATGGAGTTAGCATTGATGTATTTACAATGATTTCAGATGGAGTTAGTATAGATATATTTACAATGATTTCAGATGGAGTTAGTATTGATATATTTACAATGATTTCAGATGGAGTTAGTGTTGATATATTTACAATGATTTCAGATTGAGTTAGTGTTGATATATTTACAATGATTTCAGATGGAGTTAGTGTTCAGGATGAGACAGAGTCCAGAGACAATGGACATGTCAGCTGACATTAAAAATCTCGGTATAGTCTCATGTAAATACAACAGTAGGGGCTCTGGGGCACAGGTAAATATCTCTTGTATTAAACGAAGGAATTTATTGGATACGCTTTGTGAAGTGTATCACCTTTGAACAGTCTGATTTGACTGATGACAAAATATAGTTCAAATGTGCCTTAAAAATACTGACCATGTGACAAGCTTGTGTAATTTTCAAAGTGATGTTGTCATAAAAATAATTGCTGTATTGATGTTGTTAAAAGCATATACTCTACCCTCTTAGCCAGTAAATTGTAAAACTAATAATACCAGTACATATAAGTGATACTAATATATCTATTCAGCTAGCAGACAGAAGGTTGGTGGTTTTACTGAGGTGCCAGCTCATGCCTAAAATAATGCATTGACATTCTTAGGAGACCTCCTTTATGGGGTTATTACTTCCATCTTTTGTTGATGATTTTTAACCCCGCAAATAACTTTTATAACTTTTTTTCTGTTTACCATTTCTAACCCCAGAACTACAGTTTGTATGTAATGAACCATGTAATGTTAAGTGGAAGACATACCCAAAACTCATAATGTCTCTTTTCTAACAGCAAAAACAAAACCAAAGTGTTCCTTCACAATAAAGCTGGGAAATTACAAAATTACATTAAAGGAGCTCCAATGAGGTCAGAAAGTTGAATTTTTTTGGGCGATTCATAGTCTGATTTGAGTGAAAAGCATAGCAACGCTTTTAATTTTTTGCTTATTTTGCACAATAAAAAGGATGATTCTGGAAAAACCGAGTGAGAATATGATCTGAAAATTTGCAGTCTTAAAGTTATTGTCTAGACCGACATAATATGGTACACAAATCTCAAAAAGATATTTCCAACTCTGTCATGTCAAAAAACCTCAGTGGAGTCCCTTTAATAGTGTTGTAATAACTTATATGTAAAGAAAAAACACCAGCACAGATGACATGTTATTATGATATAATTATGTTTTTGTACTGTATGGTATTTATAGCTGATGACACAGACAATCGTAAGTGTAATATGTAGAAATATAGACCAACAGGAACACATATAGCACAGCTTCAAATTAACATTACCGTATTTCTGATAATTATTGCGCTTAATTATTGCCCTATTAAACACCCCCTTTTTCTTGAATTCTTTGTGCTTTGTTTAAGCAAATCACAATTGTGATTTGTTTTGATATATAGATATGCACAAATAGGATTAAATGATTAATTTCAAACACATAATTGATGTGTATTTAATTTTGTTTATGTTTACTAATTAATACATATCTATACTAAATAAAGGAAGTCCTTGGCGAAGTAAGGAATTCTAGAATATGTGACTTAACTCTTTACTCCATATGCTTTTTAACAATTGGCTACTGATAACCAATACACTCTTATCAATTATCTCCAAACAGATAATTCGGGGAAAATGAAAAAATGTTTACCAGTGTTATAAAAATTATTATTAAAGTTATAGGTCCCAATGCTTAAAAACTTAAGATTTTAAATCCTTACATCTATAGATCAAATTTGGGCCACTTCAGGAGGAAAAATACGCAAAAGATAAAAAATATAAAGCCAGTACTGAATTAAATATCAATTATTCATTTTGGGCACTTCAGAAGGAAAAATATGTAAAAGTTAAAAATAATAAAGCCAGTTCTGAAATAAATATCAATTATTCATGAGATTTTGAGGCTTTTCATTATTTTATTTGTTGGGGGGGGGGGGGATGCACTAATGAAATGATTATTCTCAACAGAGTGAACATGTGATTTGAAATTGTGCATGTAGGTTATTTGTCCAGAACTATATCTGTTGTTCAAATGGTATACAAATCTTGAAAACCTATTTCAAGTCTTATCAAAATAGTGTCCCCTGAAATAATAACAAAATTGAACATTTTTTTTTAAGTAAAAAATAAACCTCAATATATTTATTGTATTTTTTTTATAATCACATAGAAATTTCTTAAAATTTTACTAGATTTAAACAAGTAAGAAATCTTTAATTTTCATTTTAATTTTGAAAAGTACAATAATGTAAAGTACTATATTTCTGTTTAAGATATACATGTACATGTATATATTTTGTGCAAATACTAAATAAAAATATATACATACACATATATTTTAAAGATCCCCATAAATCTAGCCATAATAGTGTTTTACAAAGAACACATAAAAAATCAGCCAATACATTGAAAGTGCAATCTGTATATTCAATTACTTGAATTAACTTTAAAGAATGCTATTCAGTAATTTATTTTAATCAATAAGAAAGTCATTGTGCATGACAAAAACAATTAAAGCTATTTCTGCAGTTTATTGAAAGCTACATATAGATCAAATTTTTAAAATTTAAAGTTAATTTGATCGGATAAAACCATAATTATTAATTGTTATTCCATGAAAAATGATTTTGTAAAAATCATTAAATGCTTTGACTATTTATAAACAGGCCTTGACATTAGCGGTGGTCCATTGGTCCGAGACCACCTGATTTTGGCAAGGACCACCTAATTTTACAGGCAAGTGGTCTGTTAGACCACTTGAATTTTCCAAATGATGCAGGGCTCATCTGGGAGAATGGTTATTTGGTCGAAAAACGTGTTCTATAATTGTTGTTTAAAACCATTTCTCCAATGTACAGGTATATGTTCATTCATCTCATTAGTTTAAAAAGATCTTAAAACATCCATAACTTTTTATTAACTCGCTAACAGTGTAGTTAAAAAAGTAGAAATTTTATTTTTGTAAATTAAAGTACAAAATTCATTCAAATGTCTCTAGTACTGCATTGAATTTATAACATTGTATCACTATGGGATATCGGATAAACACATGAATAATGGTGCAAACAAAGGCAAAGGAAAAATTAAATATCTAGTAATCTTTGGCTACTTTTTTAAACGATCAGAGATCCATTTTTTTCTTATTTAAAGTACTTTAAAAGGTTATAAATACTTTGTCAAAAATAAATAAATTTCAACAAACAGGCATGTATAATAAATCTGTGAGGAAGATAAGCTCAATTATAATGTAGGAATTTTTCTGTTTATCATTAATATTTCATTGTTTCAAAGACAAGAATACATGTATAATAACTTAATAGTTTAATTAAAAATGTTAATCTATAAAAAGCAATTATTATTCTTTTAAGATGTACCAGGAAACAGCAATGAGTATTTGAATAACAGTAAGGAAATAAGTCATTCACAAACGGTTTCATTATTCCTTAACTTGAGTTGCAGAAGAAGTCACTTAACCAAAGTATGAGTACTGTCATGTATTTTTCAATGAGATAATAAATACTAAATAGGATTACAATGACTTACTATCTGATTAGATTGAAATAGAAAAAATAAATGTTTTCTTCAGTTGTTATAAATCTAATAATAAATATGTCTCTGTCACCAATTTTAAGTGTAGTTCTTCTAAATCTGAAGTTTCCTTAAAAACAAATGAGTAAAAAAAAAAGATGGACCACCTGTGTTCAGAAAGGACCACCTGAATTTTGGATCCAGTGGTCCGGCACCTGCTGAAAAAGTTTGTGTCAAGACCTGATAAACATATCAAATTCAGACGAAAAACATGCATTTTGTCACTGAAGGAAGAAGCATTTAAAGGCTTAAATCAAGGCTAAAATAAGAATGTAAAAGAGAAAACAGACTGAAAGTTCTTAACGTTTCATTACCATATATAAAGTGCCTTTTCAATACTCACTTTCGAGGTCCGGTGCGTATGTTGGATAAAAATCCCGTAAAGTAAAATAACGATCGAGCATACAGAAAAATGCAAAGTAACGCAAGAGCGCGTGGCTTTAGGCCACAAAGTCCTCATACGTGTCATTGACCTTTTATTATAACTAGTTGATATGGTGAAAAATAGTTTTAAGTGTAATTGTCCAGTTTCTGCTGCAAAAGTTATTTTTGAAATTGGGGGGACGGGGGTTGTATTAGGGGAGGGGCATTTAATTTATTTAATTTTACAATAGCAGCATAACATTTCGGTACATTTTTATTCTGTTTATTTATAATATTCAATGTCGAAAAAGAGGTCTTCTCTCAAAATAATTGATACAGTACAATTTTAATGTTTCTTAAATATAAGCTTAAATTTATACACATGTAGGTAGAATATTAGTAATGCTTGTTTTGCTTGATATATTAGATCATTTATTGTATTAGCTTGGTTTGACTCGAAGAAATACTAAAATTAAATGTTATACTATAAATTTGCTCATATCTTTGTTGTTTTTGTTTTTATTTTGCGTTATTAGATGTTTAGTTTGAATGATAACTTTTTTGTTTGTCAGTTATCTTTCTTTAGTAGCTGTTTTATTTTGAATGATAACTCTTTTTTTGTGTCAGTTATCCTTTTTTTGTTAAAATGTTATTATAAATAATCATAGATGGATCTTGTTTGTTTGTTTTATTTTTTACAGTGTTATGTTTTGGTATATTCCAGTTGCATCAGAACCGCTAGATTTGGGCACAGCAGTTGATGAAGTTTTAGAAGAAAGGGGGGAACAGGTAATATATAATTGAGACGCGCTATGACAAAACCAACATAATGTGTTTGCGACCAGCATGGATCCAGACCAGCCTGCGCATCTGCACAGTCTGATCAGTATCTATGCTGTTCGCTTACAAGCAGTATTACAAGTAGTGAAACTGAAATCAAACAGCATGGATTCTGATCCGACTGCACGAATGCTCAGGCTGATCTCCATTTTGGTCACAAATGCATTATGTTGGTTTTGTCATGGCGCGGCTCAATTATGTCTAAAATATATTTATATTTTTGTTTTATAAATTTAAAGGAACTCCACTGAGGTTCAAAGGCCTAAAAACATGAAATTTGAAAATCTTACAAATGTCAAGAGATGCACTTAAAATGGAAAACTCTGCAGAATAACAGAAATCAATTTTTGGGTAATACTTACCCTGATTTGAGTGATGAATGTGTTGCAACGTTTTTCATTTTTGGGTCATTTTGTTCAATCAAAATGATTATCCTAAAAAAAAAGTGGTGAGTGAATGTCCGAAATATTTGCACACAAGTTATTGGTCTAGACCTTCATCAAATGGTACACAAATCTCGGAAAAAAATATTTTCAGTTCCATTATGTCAGAAAACCTCAGTTGAGTCCCTTTAAAATTTAGTTTGACAATTTGTGGGATATATTTTAAGCACAGTTGTAAAACTGATATGTCTGTATATACTTGTAATGTGTCTATAAATGGTAAAACATTATATTACTTTCTGGTCTTTTTATGGTCTGTTTCATGAATGGGAAATTTAATTGTTTAAAGTGGATTGGTCTACAATAGGCACATTTTTCATAAGTATTTAAAAAAAATGATAAAAACCATAGAAATGACGTGTATGATTTGGAAATTACTAGGAAATTATTACTAGGGAAAAAAATTCTTCTGTGGTTTGTTGCTATACATGTATATTATACCACATTTTTTTTCCTTCTTTGTCTATATAAGTGACAAAATGACGTGGAGTGTTAGAATATACTGAATTACTATCAATATAATTGTTTTTTGTATTACAAACTTCAATTATAGACCAATTTACTTTAAAGAAAGTGTCAAAAAAATTTGTGGGGAATTAGTGGCAATTAAAACCGGACTTCTGCTAGCCATAGATCTGGTTTTATCGCCACTATCAAAGAATGGTTTAAAGACGTTTTTCAGAGTTTTCATATTGACATATAGGCAAAATTAAAACTGTTCCATAGAATTTCTTTAAACTTGGCTTCCAGATTTGTGTCTATTTTAAGGAAAATTTGAAAAATGGATCAAATAAGTGAAAATATTGTCCAGTTTCATCTGTATTATGAATTTTTATACATTTCTTAAACAATCTCTTTGTAATGAGTTTTCTGACTTTAATCTTTTTCTCTATATTTTTACAGTCCTATAAAGAAAAGGTATACAGATTGTTCTCTATGTTTCCATCATGCATTACACCATACAGATTGCTTCTCCCCCCATATACTAATATTCCTTTACATGTAACATATGAGTGAGAATCCCCCTATGTTTGTCTGAAAATTTAATGTCCAGTCAGCATACAGATTGTAATTATAAGTTCTATAATTTTTCACTTTGTGTAAGAATTCTACAAGCTTATGAGGATTGTCTGTGACTGTGTGGTTAAGGACGTTGACTTCAAACCACTTGCCTATCACTGCTTTGTCTTTGAATCCCGACAGAGACTTTGGATTCTTTCATGTAAGGAAGCTGTCATGCTAGCTTACAGAATGTCTGTCGTTCTATTCAGATGCCTGTTTGTGTCTGAAAGAATGCACTAAGGTGCACTTGATGTCTTCCTCCACCAGTAAAGCTACTAGTATACAGTCACCATATGACCTTCACAATGTCAGTGTGACTTTAAAACACAATCAAAACTGTGCAAGAAGTTTATAATGTCTTTTCTGTGCCTGGCATTTTAGCACTTTCAATTTTGTCTCATAATTTTACATGTATATCTGATCATATTGCCAGAAAAACTGTTCAAGCTTTCAGAACTGTACAAGAAAAATGGTTTGTTTAAGTTTAATGTAGGATTTCCATATTAACACATTTGTCCAAAGTACATAGGTGGAAATACTTATTGGGTCTCCATTGAAAGTGGTTCATTGTGCATAGATGGAAATACTTTTTGGGTCTCCATTGAAAGTGGTTCATTGTATTAAATTAAAAAAAATTATTACTCTTTACTGTGTGTAAGAATTGTGCTAGCTTTTGATAGGTATATGTGGCTGTCAGGTTAAGGTTGTTGACTTCAAACCACTTGCTCTCCAAAATCCCACTAGAGGCTTTGTTTTCATTCATGTGTGAAAGCTATCCTGCAAGCATACAGAATGTTGGTGGTTTTACTGAAGTGCCCATTTGTGACTGAAATAAGGAACAAAGGCACCTGAGGCCTTACTACGATATGACCTCTACAGTGTAACTGCAACATAAAACCCAATAAAAAAATAAGCTAGGTTACAGAACGATGGTGGCTTTACTTGTGTGCCACCTTTTGTCTGAAAGAATGGTTCCTCAAGTTTTCCTCCACCAATTAAGCTGGAAAATGATTAAGATCAAAGTCTTCAAGACATTTTATTCCCCACTTCTTTGTTTTAATGTCCTGGCATTGGCTTTGAATGCTTTCTTTTGAGCTAGGTATTCAGGTAGCATTTGGTTTAAATCTTATGGTTCTAGCCAAAGCGCATGCTTGTTCCTGAAATAATTTAATGCAAGCTTGGCACCAGGCCACTCCCTCAAACCAGGAAAAAGTTGGAAAGGTGTCATGTGACCTTTAAAGTGCCTATGAGGGTTGGTGTGTGACCTTCACAGTGCCAGTGTCATGTAAAAGAACATCAAAAATGGAAAAAAAAGACAAACTTAAAAGATTTTTCTGCAATGATTGTCCTCGACAATTCAGTCTATTAACTCAAGTTACTCTGCCATCACTTGCACTATATTTTGAAAAAAAATATTGGGACTGGATTTCTTTGCATTGTCTCGCAAACTTATTAACATTAGTGAATTACCTCAGACATAAAATTACCTATTACCAAAATGTGGCGTCTATTAATGTCGACGTTTGTTTGGTCCTTAGACGTCATTTCCTTTATGTATTAATTGACAAAGCTAATAAAGCGAAACATTTATTGATATTTAAAGTTGTGTTGGTTTTTATCTATTTGTCCCAGACTTAAGATTACCCTCCCTGTAACAGTTTACTGTGTTTAATGAGATCCCATCAGTCCTTTTTCCCTCATTTCCTCATTTAAAGTTAACAAAAGAAACTTCCTCATGTCTGCTGTTACATTTGCTGTTAAGTCTGCTGTAGACGTTGAAGAACGAACTTTAATATTTCTTTATTTAGATCACACTTTAAAGAAATCAACACAATAATGAAAATTAATTACTTTTCTTAAACTTTAAAGAAATCAACACAATAATGAAAATTAATTATTTTTCTTACTCTTTAAAGAAATCAACACATTTATAAAAATTAATTACTTTTCTTACTCTTTAAAGAAATCAACACATTAATGAAAATTAATTACTTTTCTTACACTTTAAAGAAATCAACACAATAATGAAAATTAATTATTTTTCTTACTCTTTAAAGAAATCAACACATTTATAAAAATTAATTACTTTTCTTACTCTTTAAAGAAATCAACACATTAATGAAAATTAATTACTTTTCTTACACTTTAAAGAAATCAACACAATAATGAAAATTAATCACTTTAAAAAAAATCAACACAATAATGAAAATTAATTACTTTTCTTACACTTTAAAAAAATCAACACAATAATGAAAATTAATTACTTTTCTTACACTTTAAAGAAATCAACACAATAATGAAAATTAATTACTTTTCTTACACTTTAAAGAAATCAACACAATAATGAAAATTAATCACTTTAAAAAAAATCAACACAATAATGAAAATTAATTACTTTTCTTACACTTTAAAAAAATCAACACAATAATGAAAATTAATTACTTTTCTTACACTTTAAAGAAATCAACACAATAATGAAAATTAATTACTTTTCTTACACTTAAAAGAAATCAACACAATAATGAAAATTAATTACTTTTCTTACACTTAAAAGAAATCAACACAATAATGAAAATTAATTACTTTTCTTACTCTTTAAAGAAATCAACACATTAATGAAAATTAATTACTTTTCTTACACTTCAAAGAAATCAACACAATAATGAAAATTAATCACTTTTAAAAAAATCAACACAATAATGAAAATTAATTACTTTTCTTACACTTTAAAAAAATCAACACAATAATGAAAATTAATTACTTTTCTTACACTTTAAAGAAATCAACACAATAATGAAAATTAATTACTTTTCTTACACTTTAAAGAAATCAACACAATAATGAAAATTAATCACTTTAAAAAAAATCAACACAATAATGAAAATTAATTACTTTTCTTACACTTTAAAAAAATCAACACAATAATGAAAATTAATTACTTATCTTACACTTTAAAGAAATCAACACAATAATGAAAATTAATTACTTTTCTTACACTTAAAAGAAATCAACACAATAATGACAATTAATAACTTTTCTTACACTTTAAAGAAATCAACACAATAAAGACAATTAAGCTGCTTTAATCTCTCCTCTCTTTTTAGTAAAAGTCAATTACTAACTGTATACTTAAAATAAAGAAAAATACACGTTTTGGACAAAAACCTACAATTTCACATGAATTTTAAGCTAATTTTCTTCTGATCTTAAACCTTAACCTATTCACTTCTGTAATGGATTTGCCCTAATTCCAATTTGGAATAATCCATTTAAATTGAAGGGATTGCAATATCAAAATACAAATATTGAGTTAATGACAGTTTAGGGACTGATCAGATTGTGTAGATTTGCAGACTGATTGACTGTGCTCCATGCTCTTGATGTGGTAACAAAGTCTAATCACTGTTTGTTTGTTTTTGGGTTTTACGTCACATCGACACAGTATAGGTCATATCGCGACATTCCAGCTTTACTGGTGGAGGAAGACCTCAGGTGCCCTTCCGTTCATTATTACAGGCACGAACGGGTACCTGAGTAGAACCACCGACGTTCCGTAAGCTAGCTGGATAGCTTCCTCACATGAAAGAATCCAAAGTCCCTGTCGGGATTCGAACCCACAGAATCACTGTTTGTAACAGCAGGTTAAAGGTCAAGGATAAAAGGTCAAGAACAAAAGGTCAAAAACATGACCTTTACAATGGGAATAATTATAATATACAACACTGTAGTTCTGTTTAAAACAATAATACACTCTTGACATTCTACTTCACCACAAATCTTCAGAAAAATAAAAGATTTAACCCAGTTACCTCCCTTGTGTCATTTGCTCTTTGTTCTACATGTATATTTAGCATTTATGGTCATTTTTCTGTTTGAATGAGATAATTTTCTTTGTTGGAGAATGTAGAAAATATATTTATTTGAGTTTGTTTTTTTGTATGATAGGTGAATACATGTGTTAACTATTATGTTTATACTTTTATATTCTATTAATATATAATAGCAACATAGTATGATATACATGTATATAGTTTTATGTTCTATAAATATAGTAACATAATCTGTTATGAGTAAGTTTAAGTTGATGCATGAATTAAAGGGGCATTAAGACTTAGAAATGATTTTTTTTTCTTTCCATAGAAAGTGCAAACATTTATTTTATGGTGTTGTAACAATGGATTTAGAACATGTACATACATGTGAACTCTCCCACTTTAAGGGGGAGATTCCCCTTTTCTGCAGCCATATATTTTCAAAGATTTTTCTTAAAATAAGGGGTATTTTCACAAATTAAAGAAATCTCCCTAGTTTTTGATGTCAGAACTTCCTTTTTTGTTTATTGCAAATTCTAAAATCTCCCTCTTGATCATTGAAAAAAGATCACATGTATGCATGTAAGATTCTTAACAACTGAATGTAAAATAGTGTGTGGTAAAGGAAGCAAAATGTAAACAATCTGGTATTTTGACTTCTATACAAAATACATTAATCACTACATGTATATCTTTACTAATTGCCAAAACACAAAAGAAGCAAAAGATGGCTTTGCTAATTATGGCCAATGAATAACTTTTTGAAAAAAAAAGAAAAAAAAAGAAACAGGATAGAAAAAATATCAAGGTTTTGAAAAAAGAAAAAAAAATGTTTGCATTTTTTAGCCTTAACCCATTACTTCATGAGCATTTTGTGAAAAATGGCTGTTTTCATTGAAAAGTCTCCCGTTACAAGTTCAAATTGCTATAATACTATAAAAACTGCTTCAACACTAATCAAACTTGGCACAAATGTTGACTGGACCATTGCCCTTGCAACAACATGCTCAGGCTTAAATTTTATGTTACCAGGGCAACGAGGGGACATCTCAAAATTACCAAAAATCACTATTTTGCGTTGATTTTTTCCATCATAATTGATTTCAAAGTGCTGCAACTTCTCAATGGATTGAGATAGAGTCAAATGCTTTTCTGAGCGTTGGTTACACGTTACCTTATGATCAATCCGAGGTCATTTATAGCCTCTCACAAGTCCAAAATTTTCTTGGCGATGAGGGGGACTCTGCCCCCTTCAAACCCCCCAAACAGAAGGGGGCACATCCCCCTTCTGGCAACCCCCTGATGTATCTTTTGGTTGGGGGGGGGGGGGCGCGCCGAAAAAGTGGTCACTTTTTTTAACAACATTTCTCAAACAAAAACAAGTGTTGGGGGCCTAAATAAGGCATTTTTTCACTATTTGAGACAACAAAAAGGGGGGGGGGGAGTGAAAAAGGCGTTAAAAGGCGTGTATATGAAGTAATGGGTTAACAGAAAATGATGAAAATACTTGAAATTACCCAAAATCGCGTTTTACCATGTTTAAACATGGCTCACATTAATTTTTGAAGAAAAATTGATGTTTTGTAGAATTTTTTTATATTTTTCATTAACCCATTACTTCATGAGCATTTTGTGAAAAATGGCTGAAAAGTCTCCCGTTACAAGTTCAAATTGCTACAAAACAATAAAAACTGTTTCAAACTTGGCACAAATGTTGACTGGACCATTGCCCTTGCAACAACATGCTCAGGCTTAAATTTTATGTTACCATGGCAACGAGGGGACATCTCAAAATTGCCAAAAATCACTATTTTGCGTTGATTTTTTCCATCATAATTGATTTCAAAGTGCTGCAACTTCTCAATGGATTGAGATAGAGTCAAATGCTTTTCTGAGCGTTGGTTACACGTTACCTTATGATGAATCTGAGGTCATTTATAGCCTCTCACAAGTCCAAAATTTTCTTGGCGATGAGGGGGACTCCGCCCCCCTTCAAACCCCCCAAACAGAAGGGGGCACATCCCCCTTCTGGCAACCCCCTGATATATCTTTTGGCTGGGGTGGGCGCGCCGAAAAAGTGGTCACTTTTTTTAACAACATTTCTCAAACAAAAACAAGTGTTGGGGGCCTAAATAAGGCATTTTTTCACCATTTGAGACAACAAAAAGGGGGGGGGGGTGAAAAGGGCGTTAAAAGGCAGGGCGTTAAAAGGCGTGTATATGAAGTAATGGGTTAATGGGCCTTTAATATGAATGTCTATGTTTCAAAACTTAATATGACTATGCTACAATCATTTGTTCCCTGTGGTCTGGAGACCGTATTGGTACGCGTTTAACTTTTGAGGCATGGAGGAGCACGTGACCTGTTTTCGGTACATGGAGGAGCATGTGATCTGTAAACCGTACATGATTGGTTAATTGACCTTTTCGAAGACCTGGCTAAATACCGTTTGCCGGTACGTTACGGATAATCCTCTAGGGAATAAGTCAGAATTACACCTAATTAAGAACAAAAAACTATTACGTGATATTTCTAATTTTCTATAATTAAGGTGGAAAAACTTGAATGATGTGTTTGAAAATTATCAATGTTTCTTTCATATGTATCTCAAAATGTTACAAACAATAAATTGTTTATACTGAAAATCTACAAAATTAAAATATTCGTAGTGGCATCTGCCATAATAAATAGAGATATTTTCTGCGAAAACTTATGTGTTTACTTTATTTTTTTATTTATTTTTTTGCTCGGAATTATTCATAAAATGGTAGGCCTATTTAATCATTTTCTTAAAAAGAAATAATTGTTTTATGTTCGACCTTCTCAGGTCATCAAAGGTCACCAGTTTCCGAAGACCTTCTTCTATATTGATCGATTATTGTCAACTATATTCCTGATACAAACGTTTATTTATCCCCCCCCCAAACAATGTTGAAAATAGTTAAATGAAATATCTTTATATCATTAAAAATGTTCCCCGCAGGAAACCATTTTACTTGTTATTCACATAAATTTTAATGCTGAAGACATGAATGGTAATGTTATTATTATGAATGGCACTGTTATTGATATGAATTTATGTGCAGCAAACATGGATATCTTGGTAACAAACATGGATATTTTGGAAACAGACATGAATGGTAATATAACAGACATGAATGTTAATATAACAGACATGAATGGTAATATAACAGACATGAATGGTAATATAACAGACATGAATGTTAATATAGCAGACATGAATGTTAATATAACAGACATGAATGTTAATATAACAGACATGAATGTTAATATAACAGACATGAATGGTAATACAACAGACATGAATGGTAATATAACAGACATGAATATTAATATAACAGACATGAATATTAATATAACAGACATGAATGGTAATATAACAGACATGAATGTTAATATAACAGACATGAATGGTAATATAACAGACATGAATGGTAATATAACAGACATGAATGTTAATATAACAGACATGAATGTTAATATAACAGACATGAATGGTAATATAACAGACATGAATGATAATATAACAGACATGAATGTTAATATAACAGACATGAATGGTAATATAACAGACATGGATGTTAATATAACAGACATGAATGGTAATATAACAGACATGAATGGTAATATAACAGACATGAATGTTAATATAACAGACATGAATGTTAATATAACAGACATGAATGTTAATATAACAGACATGAATGGTAATATAACAGACATGTATGGTAATATAACAGACATGAATGGTAATATAACAGACATGAATGTTAATATAGCAGACATGAATGGTAATATAACAGACATGAATGGTAATATAACAGACATGAATGGTAATATAACAGACATGATTTTTAATGTTTATATTGAAATATATTGGTATATTATAAAAATGAAAGGCTAATTAAACATGACTTTGATGCTACAATTGAATTTTCTAGGATATGAAAATGAATGATAAATGAATGTTATTATCTTGAAGACCTTTAACTAATTTGGTTTCTGACATTTTTCTATTATTTCTTGTTTTACTTTGTGAATGTTTTGCATTATGTAAGATTATTATATCATATTACGTACATATGATGTTTTTCAGATGATATTGAAAGTTCCATCAATCGTGGTAAAGATCGAGGGAGGTGTTGGTAACCGAACTGTACCGTTACTTATCACAGAGATGTCATTCCAAGGTGAAGTCAGGGACTGGTCAGGAAAGGTAACTATAGAAAGTTCTTGATTTTTACAAATACACCTCCCTTGCATAAAGTAGGAGCCATTTTTAGGGTGTAAATATTCTATATGATATAATAGACAAAATACATGAATGCAAAAATCCATATAAACACCAGATTCATGTGAATTGTCAAATTCTTTTATACATATGCAGCAGATTTTTTTATAGCACCAATATGCAAAATATTTTTATCAGTTTTTCATGAATATGATAGAATTCTGAGATATCTTGGTCGTCAAAACTTCAAATAAATTTTCTGCATTACGTCATATGGCAACAAAAATGGTACGAAGAAATTTCTGATTTTATATCATCGTGTTATTTCAGCTATATGTAGAGAGTAGACTTCTGCTGGAAGTGGCTTATTACAACGAGAAAATGTCCGTATGGGAACCACTAGTGGAACCAGTGTTTCATGAGGGTAAATACCGGAGATGGGAACTCGGTCTTGAGGTTAGTTATTTCATAATATATGAAACCACTATAACCATTATAACTTCAGTCATAGGCTGATTTCTTTGAAATTTGGTCATTGACAATAATAATAATCACAATTCATATAAAAAAATTTATCCCCAGCCGAAAAGGCGGCGGGGGATATAGAAATAGTCTCCGTCCGTCTGTCCTTTGGTCCGTCCGTCCATCCATCCTTCCGTCCGAAATTTTTGTCTGAAGCATATCTCAAAAAGTTTTTGAGGTATCAACTTAAAACTTCATAGGTGGATAGCGGTGTGCAGTGCACAAGAATGATAACTCTACCTGCATAATTTTTGAGTTATTGCCCTTTGTTATTTTTCAAAATTAATTTTTGTCCAGAGCATAACTCAAAAAGCCTTTGAGATATCAACATGAAACTTCATGTGTGCACATTTCTCACTCAGGAGGTGTGCAGTGCACAAGAATGATAACTCTACCTTTCATAATTTTTGAGTTATTGCCCTTTATTTTTCATACTTAATTTTTCACCTGAGTGTTTGAGATATCAACATGAAATGTCATAGGTGGATAGATCTTATTGAGGAGGAATGCTGTGCGCAAGAATGATAACTCTTGGCTATATAATTTTTTATCACACACCCGTGCCGATTTTGCGACTCCGTAAATATGGTATTGCACGGCCGTGCATATATTTTGACGTGACGTCATTAGCGTTATACAAACATAGTGTAAAGACGCGCTAAATGTTAACATTATACTATAGGCGCGTCAATGCAAAATTACTCTTGTTTCACTTTAAACGGTCTTTATTTTTGGTATGTGATAAATAGAATATTAAATTCGTGTAAGTTCATTACTGAATTTATTGCACTCGTTGAATAAAATAATATTATGCTCGCCAGAGGCTCGCATAATATATTTTTATTCAACTCGTGCAATAAATTCAGTATTGAACTTACACTCATTCAATATCCTCTATTTAGTTATTGCCAATTAATCTTTTTCATACTATTTTGTAGGGAGCTTATCTCAAAAAGTATTTGAGGTATCAACTTGAAACTTCATAGGTGGATGGATCTCATTGAGTAGGAGTGCAGTGCACAAGAATGATAACTCTACCCTGGATAATATTTGAGTTATTGCCCTTTGTTATTTTTCAAAATTAATTTTTGTCCAGAGCATAACTCAAAATGCCTTTGAGATATCAACATGGAACTTCATATGTGCATAGATCTCACTCAGGACGTGTGCAGTGTAAAGATTGATTACTCTACCTTTCATAATTTTTGAGTTATTGCCCTTTGTTATTTTTCATACTTAATTTTTCACATAAGTGGAGCATAACTCAAAAGTGTTTGAGGTGTCAACGTGAAATGTCATAGGTGAATAGATCTTATTGAGGAGGAATGCTGTGCCCAAGAATGATAACTCTTCCCTATATAATTTTTAGTTATTGCCCATTGTTCTTTTTCATACTATTTTGTAGGGAGCTTATCTCAAAAAGTATTTGAGGTATGAACTTGAAACTTCATAGCTGGATAGATTTTACTGACGAGGGGTGCAGCACACAAGAATGATAACCTATCCTGCATTATTTTTCAGTTATTGCCCTTTGTTATTGTCAGCCATCAGTATTCACATAGGTTTCAAATCTGTAATCACTTCAGCCATCAGTTTTGATTACCAAAAGACCTCTTAAAATTGAATTATTCTACTCTACTATATATACATTCTTCCAATGAGCAAACACATTCGGCGGGGGATGGCCTTGTTGATATTGCTCTTGTTCAAATTTATAGCCCTTGGGTCAAAATTGGCCCCTGCCCCAGGGGGTCATTGATTTTCCTCACATTTATATAGTAAAAACAACAAAAAATCTTCTATTATAATAGCATTGCCTAGTGAACACCTATACAAATTGATTTAATCATACCCCTTTGATCCAAATTGATCCCTCCTAATGACTTGCTTTAGCATTTAAGAATTGTGACTTTTTTTCTAGAAATTAAGTTGAGTGATATAGGGCCATTATAGCCCTCTTGTATTGTTTTGTACATTCTACAGTTGACTATTTCATTATTCTTATTGACCTGAGACAATTGTGGCTGATGACTGCATTAAACAGGGTCATTTAATGTACAGGGTACACACTTGACTATATACAGATGTATACTGGGTACAAACTATAAAATAAGAACAAGAACTACAAGAAACATTTATAAAGCAAGACTTTTAATAAATATTGCCAACAATAGAAGCTAAAACTGTTTTGACTACTGTATAAAAAAAAAAGCTTTGAAAAAACTTCACCTTATAAACCAAAATTTTAAATACATTTTCACAAGCAATACTGGTCCTCTACACAATATGCTCTTAACTCTTAAATGTAAAGTCAGATATTCCAAGTCAATGAAGTTGGCATCATTCTTTCAATTTAACTTGTTTAATGTCATTATAAGTAATTATTATCACAAAATAATATGTGATAAAAAGTGTAACGACGGGCCTATATTTTGTCATTTTAGCTGTTTGATATCATTGAAAACTAAAGTCTTCATACATTCTTTTTTTTTATCTATGTTTATTGGCTAGCCAGTAAGCCAGAAAGGAGCTTACATATATGGATGTTTGCAACATTGTTCCTTGCCCTTTGTCGAAGAGAAAGCATGTAGCAATTTAATGCTACTTGAGGTCTGTTTTCTTGTTCCATACATTGTCCTAAAATGTTTAGAGCTGTTTCTCTATGTCTGAGGGTTTTATCTGTTTCTATGGTTCTGATAAGTTTACCAAGTGCTTGTTGTTGATCTTGATGTCTTTGTAGATGACGATAGATCTTGTATTGTAGGAAATACAAGAAAGGTAGAGAATCAACTACAGCCCAGTCCATCCAGTCTTCATGCTCATCTCCGTGTATCATGTCATCTTGTGTAGATCTGAACATTTCATACTGTAGTTCATGAGGAACACAGTTGATCTCTCCCTGTATAAATCTTACACAAAATGCTGTAATATGCTTGATACAGTTCTCACTTTGCTCACCACATAATCTCTTGAATTCTTCTGTTACTGCTACTGTCAACTTATGATGGCAGTGACAGATAGGTAAAACAGGATAGGAGTAATATTGTTGTTCTGTGTGCCTCAGAATTAGTTCAGCTTTCTCCATATCTCCTGTACTGTAAAACACTGAAGCCAGTTTAAGTCTGCTAGATGAGACATCTGAGTTTAAACCAGCTGATAGCCAAACCAATGCTTGAGGTGACACTTGATTATTTTCACCAATGCTGTAAGATGCTAGGATAGATCCATATGTGGTAAAAGAAAAAGGTGCTAGAAGTTTGAAAGCAGCATGATGTAATCTATTACCATTATCATTGAAGGTAGTTAGTTTACCTACATATTGTTTTATTGTTCTAAAGTTTTTATTGTGTAAATGTTTTAAAAAATGCATATGCTGATAACTTATGCTAGTTGCAATGTTTATATATAACCCCATCATAACAGTTTCATATATTTCAAGAGAAGGAAAATAGTTAATTGCATGTGGTACCCTGTTCAGTTTAACTTGAAGTCTATGACCAACATCATCAATATCAATACTAAGTAACCGTTGTCTATCATTCTGTATAAAATCACAAATATTTTTTGAAAGTTCATGTTTTGTCTCAGCTGTAAATTGCCCTGCCATCAAATTATTTTCCGGTATAATGAAATGTGAACAACATTCATTTTGTACACAACTGTGTAATTCCAATAAGCAGTATATTAAACATGTATATAAATTGTTTTCTTTCCATATTTCCGACTCTGTGTTTTCTATACAATGTAATAGAACTGTTTTACACATGAAACTTGATATGTTGATTTCATCTTGAGGATTAAGGAAGGACTTAAGAATCATTTTCAATAGTACATAGCACCTTATTTGTGTTATATTTAGATTAGTCATAAGACATCTTTCTGTTAATGATGTAGATATTCTCCATTCCAGTTCAGGATATTCACTGACCTTACTTCCAGTTGGAACAACAAAAAACCCAGTACTGGCTGCATATCTTCTCATCTCTTGTGTTGGCCATCTGCCAATACCCTGTCTATCTAACCAACCTGATGCTGATTGAGGCCATGATTTACAACGTATAGCAAATACTTTGTCTCTATCACAAAATCCAGGTTCTCCTTGTAAAGCAATAGATGGTCCATGCCGCTGCTCACCACCTTGAAGACAATGATTTATGAATGTGTTTTTAAGCAATATTCTTCCTCTTCTGTCAGTAATATGGTGTTCATTAGGAATGACAGTGAGAGGGAGAGGTACATCAACTCTGAGTAGTTGTAAGAAACAATACCCAGGAGTAGTGTTCTCATCCTGTATCATGAGGAAGTTAATCTTGCCATGTTCCCACTCTGACCAGTCTTGTATTATATTGTAATCATTAAAAGATCCTAGAATATCAATGTCTGATTGAAGTCCTATAGTAGTTGTACCTTCACTCAGACTCCCTAGAGAATAGCGAGTGAAGTTTTCATCAGTTAGCCTGTACATGATATTCAACATAGTCTCTGTCAGCATGCGTGCTCTTCTCCTTTCCATCACAGTTCTTTCATTGACACCAATGTCATGTAAAACCTCTGATAACATCAATGATAAGTTTTCTCTGTAGTCAGGTTCTTGAAACATTCTGTAATATATTAGTAAAAGAGAAAATTGTTATAGTCAGCAGTCAAATTGATTTTATCACATACTTCTACTTGTTACTTATTTGTCCTTTATGTCCTAGAACAGAACAGAACAGGAGTGCCAATCTGGGCATTATGAAACATTAGATATATAATTTGGTTTAGATATCAATTTTTTATCAAGAATATTGTATATTTGTCTCTATTTGTTTGTGGTCTTTTTTTTTCCTCTATTACTAGTATGTTAATTTTAATATTTGTTCAGATAATTTGGATATAAGAGAGATGCTAAAATTAAACACTCATTCGAATATTCATGTAACACTTTCTTACATTAATCATCCCATATTGATGAGAAAGTTTGTATATAAAATAAAGTTTTAAACTTCCTTTGAATTTTTTATTTAAATTTCTTGAAAATAATCAAGAGAAAATATTCCTTTTCATATGACCTGATACCTTATATAACACCACAATTTATTGTAAAAATACATTATAATGTAAAACATAATTATTTATATTTCTGTTTAATTAAAATACATAATTTATTTAAACAAATATTTTCTTTTTTTGAGATTGATGAAAGGGAGGCACAAAAATTAAAAGCACTGTCTAAAATATTGCTTGAACTACTTTCTTACATAATTTGTTCTGTATAAATGAAAAATTGTGTATTAAGAAATAAGGTTTTAAACTTACTTTGAATGTTGTATGTCGAAATAATATAGAAAAATCAACAATAATCTTGAAAAAAAGTATCAACTTATATATAATTTTATACACGTTAACTTCCTTGAAAACTTTTTGAAACGGAAATATATTAAAATTGTAGGATTATATTTACTGGGAAATGAGAACTTGAGTAACTTGAATAAGATTTTTATAACATTTCCTTGTATTTTGTAATCATCAGGGACAATAAATATAATTAGACTTGTTTCAGAAAAATTTCCTGAATAATATGGTCTCTCCACAAGCTGAAAGGTTGTTTTTTTAGTCTAGAACAAGTTTCCATTCAAGTGTATAATTGAGCCACGTCATGACAAAACCAACATAATGGGTTTGCGACCAGCATGGATCCAGACCAGCTCGAGCATCCGCCCACTCTGATCAGGATCCATGCTTTTCGCTATCAGTTTCTCTATTTGTAATAGAGTTTGTTAGTGAACAGCATGGATCCTGATCAGACTGCGCGGATCAGACTGCGCGGATGCGCAGGCTGGTCTGGATCCATGCTGGTCGCAAACCAATTATGTTGGTTTTGTCGTGACACGGCTCATATTAATGTTCCCTATCTGCAGTGTTGATGTGACTGATGCATGAATACTGAAATATTTTTAACTCACCTGACCGCAGAGTGGTGCGTCATACAGCTTCAACATTTGGGTTTTTGTGTCACCTCTACGGAGTAGTGGCGACATATAGGGATCACTTCTCCGTTGTCTGTCTGTCCGTCACAAAACTTGTCCGGACTACTCCTCATAAACTACTGGTGCAATTTCATCCAAATTTTACAGGAATGATCAGTACCAAGTCTAGTTGTGCATATTGTCAGAATTTTCCGGTTGAATGATTTTTGTGAGAGTTATGGCCCTTTAATAATTTTTATTTTTATATGCCCGAAAGGGCATATTATGTTATACCCCCTGGCGTCCGTCTGTCTGTCCGTCCGTACGTCCGTTCGTCCGTTAGCAATTTGGTTTCCGGAGCATAACTTAAGTTCCAATTGACCCACAATGTTCAAACTTCATAGGATGATTGTCCATATTGGGTAGAAGACCCCTATTGATTTTGGGGTCAAAAGGTCAAGGTCACTATGACCTTAAAACTGAAAACAGTTTCTGGAGCATAACTTAAGTTCCATTCGACCAACAATGATCAAACTTCATAGGATGATTGTCCATATAAGGTAGAAGACCCCTATTGATTTTGGGGTCACAAGGTCAAAGGTCAAGGTCACTATTACATTGATACTGGAAACAGTTTCCGGAGCATAACTTAAGTTCCATTTGGCCCACAGTGTTCAAACTTCATAGGTTGATTGTCAATATTGGGAAGAAGACCCCTATTGATTTTGGGGTCACAAGGTCAAAGGTCAAGGTCACTATTACATTGATACTGGAAACAGTTTCCGGAGCATAACTTAAGTTCCATTTGGCCCACAGTGTTCAAACTTCATAGGATGAGTGTCCATATTAGGTAGAAGACCCCTATTGATTTTGGGGTCAAAAGGTCAAAGGTCAATGTCACTTTTACCTTAATACTGAAAACAGTTTCTAGAGCATAATTAAAGTTCCAATTGGCCAACAATATTCAAACTTCTTAGGATGATTGTCCATATAAGGTAGAAGACCCCTATTGATTTTGGGGTCAAAAGGTCAAAGGTTAAGGTCATTATTAATAACTTAAGTATTAATCAACCTACAGCTGTAAAATTTTATAGGATGAACAGCTTATTCCCATGTCTTATAAATGCTTCATCCTTATTAAAAAAAAAACAACACTTTCGGGCATATAATGCTCCGCCTAGCGGTGCTCTTGTTAAAGTTTGTCCGGACTCCTTCTCTTATACCACTAATGCAATTTCAATGAAACTTTACAGGATTGATCTGTAGCTCTAGTCCTTGCGCATAGTGCACGGGTTTTGCAGTTGAATGACTTTTGGCCGAGTTATGGCCCTTTGATAAAAAAGGTGTTTTTTTCTGTGTGTTGCCAGATACACAAAAGCTTGTCCGGACTACTCCTCATAAACTACTGGTGCAATTTCATCCAATCTTTACAGGAATGATCAGTACCAAGTCTAGTTGTGCACTGTCCGTCTGTCTGTCACAAAACTTGTCCCAACATGAAATTGGCCATCATGAGGCGACACATGTGATCACTGATCGCTCTTGTTAACACTCTAGCAGTCACAGTTTTGATTGGATCATAATCAAATTTTGTCAAAATGTTTGTCTCAATGAAATACAGGTTAGAATATGGGTCATCTCGTGTCAAAAACTAGGCCACAAGAGCTAAAAATAGAAAAAATTTGTTAACACACTACTGGCTGCAGTTTTGATCAAAATATCCTAGAAATTGATGAGGAAGATTGTTTTGATGATTTCTAGGTCAAGAGCAAATAAGGGTCATCTTTGGTCAAAAACTAGGTCACAGTTTATAGAAGGAATGTGATATATGATATATCACACTGATGAAATACAGTATATTATTCATCATTGTACACAAAAAAAAGGGATATTAGATTTTATTTGTTAACACTAATATCTGTAAAGATTTTGCAGCGTGAAAAGTGAAATATGTAATAAACAGTAAGCTTTGTTGGTCGGTGTTTTCTGGAGAGTGATAATATTGATTGTATCATAGTTTGGGGACCTTTCTGTTGAATATGTGACAGAGTTAAATCGTATACATATACATGCACAGTGCGTTAACTGGAGTGCAGGTATTAGTGACCTGCACTAGATGTTTGTTCATTGGTTACTTTTTTGTTGGGTTTCATATTGTGGCATCAGGGAACGTGTTTTATGTTTGACTATGATACAAAAGAGAAAGAACATCAAAACACTAGAGAATCTGATTTATATTCAGGGGGGGGGGGGGGCTATGCCCCCTTCTACAAATCAGATAGCCTCAGAATCAGAAATTAATTCTTCGCATAATCAATGTGCTTAGAGCAACATTAAACCACTCTAAAATTTGCTTTCTCACCTTATTTCATATAATATCCCTATAATATAAGGTGTTTTTGACACCTTGCGAAATTAAGTGTCATGTCTAAGAGCATTCAAGCAGATAATAACAACATTTAAGATCTAGGTAGGTGTTGACTTCAAATCAGTGTTCTCAATAGTGGGGTCAAATAAAGAACAAAACAAAGAATTGGGACTGAATCTGGTGGTCTTTAAAAGTGGATAAACAAGGTGGTCTTAATTCTGGATCATGCTACCAATAACATAAGAACAGAAAATTCGTACTTTTAAAAAATGGTCTTAATAGTGGGGCAGTCTGAATTCCGAGGTGGTCTTAATTAAGGATTCTACTAAAAATATTTACATATGCTAGTGTGTTGAGTATGTGAATATTGTATAGTTTTATAATTATGCAACATAGATTTGAGTGTTGGTAATTTTGACATCATGAAAATACAAAAATGTATTTAATTGATACAGGTCTATTAGTGTTCATTACAGTCAAACCATGTCTTAGAAGGCCACCATATTAAATTATTTTAAACTCATTAAAAGCTTTTTATGCTCCCCGAAAAATTTCAGGGGAGCATATAGTCGGCGCCTTGTCCGTCTGTCCGTCCGTTTTCTTGTCCGGAGCATAACTTGAAAACCCTTGGAGATAATTTGTTTAAACTTCATACAGTGGTAGAGGGCATTGAGGGGGAGTGCAATGTCAAAGAACCATAACTCTATTTTGCCCGGTTTTTGAATTATCTCCCCTTATAGAAAAATCTTGTCTGGGGCATAACTCTAAAACTATTAGAGATATCAACATGAAACTTTGTAGGTGAATAGATCTCAATGGGTAGATGTGCAGTGCATAAGAACAATAACTCTTTTTGTCCTAATTTTGGAGTTATTGCCCTTTGTTAATTTTAACACTGAACTTTGTCCGGAACATAACTCTAAAATGATAAGAGATATCAAGATGAAACATTGTAGGTAGATAGATCTCATTGAGTAGAAGTGCAGTGCAAAAAAAAACATAACTCTGCTAAGCCTCATTTTTTAATTATCTCCCCTTTTGGAAAAATCTTGTACTGGACATAGCTGTAAAACTATAAGAGATATGAACATGAAACTTTGTTGGTAGATGTATCTCAATGGATAGATGTGC